AATAGTTCTATTGGATTGGCTCAAATGAGTCCATGTGGAGGAATATTGTTAACATAGGTAGAAAGATTCTACCACATTGTAGTGAATCTGAAGTTATCTTTCATCTCTTGCTTCGATTCTTCAAGAATTCTCGTTTGTTCTTTTATCGTTTGTAGTGTTCATGTTTGTTCAATCGAAATCGGAAAAAGCTAAGATCTTCCGATGAATCTGTGATCGCTCCTAAGCCATCTGTTGAGGTTGTGAAATTGAGAAGGAATAAGCAGAGATATTGAGAATTTTGGGTTTGTTATAGTTAACCCAACAACTTCTTCCTTCTCAATTTCATACCCTGAGCCAGTTGTTGAGAAGATCTTTCACGGTTGTCGGTGTTGTGTTGTTGATTTAGATCATCGGAAAATTGTGTTGCGTCTGTTTCCTTTGTCCAAAGTTCATTCACTTTCACCGGATTTTATAGTTTCTGCATCCGATTTTGTATGATTGGATCGAAATTTGAATTTCCATTGATTTTGTATTGTAGACTGTGAAAATGGGTACGAATGATCTCGACATCGAAGAAGGGACTCTGGAGATCGGCATGGTTAAGTCACCGATCATGAATCACACTATATGATTTTGTTTCTAGTTCTTCCTCGGTTTTGATTGGAATTTGCAGTTTGACTAACCTTTTGATCGTGTTGAACAAGTGAAGAGTTGTGTCTCTCCCTCTCTAAATTAATACGACACATACAAGAAGAACGTATGTTAACATCAGACGATAGAACTACAACGTGACAAGAAGGCACACACGTTTTGTTCGAAAAGAAATTCCACATCTTTTTAAAAGTTAAAACACATACTCCAAGAAGGATATAACTAATAGAAAGAAACAAGAGCTCGAGCCAAATAACAAACCCAACAAATTCTGCAAAGCACTTAGAATTTTAGCTTCTGATCAAATGCACATAATTACGCATCATGAAAATTGATTTTGATGGGAATAAGTCAAACTTTTAAAATGTAAAACGAAATCACTAAAGGAAATTGAAACAAAGGTCTCGTGGTTAAACTCCAGAAAATATACACACAGACAAAAACAAAGCTAAGATTGACTAATTAGCAATTCCAAAGTTCACTATGAAATGATACATCAACCAAATAAGCTCTAAGATCCTAAATTCTCGGATGTGAAACAAGAGAATAAACAAACTCAAGACCTATTAACAGCTATAGCTCACTTCTGAATATTTCAAAACAAGAGAATAAACAAACAGCTCGATCTCGTCTCGGGTTTCAACACAGAGCTACAGGAAGTGAAGAAGACGGCAACGATTGATCTAGAACTGGAAGGTCTTGTCACCAGACCGTGGGCCGGTCCGTCTAACCGTTGGGCTTTGCGGGGCGGGTTAGGACCAGTGCCGGTCCAAACATTTTTAGTGCCCTAAGCGGAAAAAAAAATTTGTCGACCAAAATATAGTTTTAAAAAATTTCTAGAAAATATTCATACCATTTTGTCAAATTGAGCTATGTAATTTGGTTGTTATGAATGATTAAGAGATGTTAACCGTTGGGCTTTGCGGGGCGGGTTAGGACTGCGTTTTGCAACCCGCGGTCGTCGGCGGGCCGGTCCGTCGCGGATCCGAAGAAAAGCGGGTACATCGCGGGCGGTCCGTTTGGTCGCGGGCAGGCCCGTCTGCCATCCCTAGCTGTAGGGTACGAACATTTCGTGCCAGTTTATCCGCCTTTATATTCAAATATCGGGAAATTAACGATAAAGACAAAAAACCAAATTCTTCCTTGTCGCTCTGAATCGCCTCCAAGTAAGTAAACAATAATCAAACTGTTATTTTCAATATATCTCTCTCTATGTTTTACAAACAGAAATTTTAGCGGTTGACGGAAAATCAAACAGATACAACACCCAAACAAGGCCTAATGAAGATGCTAGCACCGGTAACGGTCCAAACATCCAAAGCAACAACGGTATAGAAACACACATAACTCTGTTCCCAACCATAGCCATAAAAAACCCTCTCTCCAACACCAATCTTGTATACTCCCTAAACGAAGTCGTCCCCGTGATATCGTAACCGCAGTCACAGTCTCCTTCCTGCTTCTTAGACATCGCGTTGATAAGGAAAATTGCATCCATCAAATAACTTAAGGCAATTGAGCTAAAGAAGAAGCTTGCTGCAAGAAGCAACGAGGCAGAGGCATATTTTAGGACAAAGATTTTAGCGTTTTGTGAGCCAAATAAGATGTCATCAGCTGCGGTGATGAGATGACTCGCTTTAAACGCGTTGTTAGTTACCGCAGCTAGTGAAAGGAAGATAAGGATGGCTATTGTAGCGGTGAGAATTGTCACCATTTTTTTGTTCCTCAAGCTTTGTACTGCTAACATCCCAGTCTTATCGTCACCCTGCGTTTTCATTATGATCACCAAATTAATGAGACATATTTTACTAACAAAATAAACAACAAAGACATCAGATATTTGATATTGTTTTATTTCTGAACGCAAAATATATCGTGTTTGCGATTTTACATGTAATAAAATAGTTTCGTAAAATCTAAACACAAGCACCGATTATTCTGTTTGCATTCAGTTTTTTTATATATTGTTAAAAAAAAAAAGACGAGCTAACTTGTTTAAAACGTAAATTATGTTTTGTTTGCGATTGCATAGTTTAATATTCATCAAAAAAAAAAGAAAAAACAACAAAGACACTAGGGATTTGATTTGATTTTTTTTAACAAAACTAAATTTTGTCTTTGGACTAACAATTGAATTTATTTTTTCAGAAAATAAGTGTTAAATGTGAACCTAAACGCCATTTAGTCCAATTAAGTACTAACGATTTTTTTTTTTGGGTAAAAAACTAAGGTCTATATTGTTTAAAACGTAAGAAAAAATGTGTTTATGTTTGCGGTACATATTTTAATCTTCTTATCAAAGTTCTTAAACTTTTATGTTTTCCCAAAAATTTTGGTTTCATTTGAAAAGTGAACGTAAACAAACTTCTAAAATATTTGACGTCAAAAAAAAAAAAAAAAAAAACCTCTTTGATGTCGCGGAACCAAGCTTTGCGTTTGGAGGAATCAATGCCAAGGGAAGTACGAGAAGGGTTGTGCTTGAAGGTGTTCCATAGAAAGACATGGTATCCCACTGCTATCAACAAACTCAATGGCACTACAATACTGTCTGTGTCCACCTTCATTCTCATTTTCTCCTCTCTTGCTTTAATTTGTATTGATTCGTATTAACAAAGGATTAATATATAAAGATAAAAAGTTAGTGGACAAATGGGATTCATAGTCAGATATCAAATAAAAGTAGTGGACATCTCTCCATTGTCTTGCCGGTGTTGTTTTGGACGTATACGCAACAAATTCTTGGTCGGAGTATTAACAAACGTTAAATATTCATGGGATAAAGTAGGACATATCAACATCTGACTATACACTCACTTTACCCATTATAACAACTATTATAAAGCACTATCTAATAGAGAGTTAATTTGCTATCATGTAAAACACATTCATTGAAATGTTTATACATGTACCAGTAAGTTTACGTGTAGAAGACTAGCTTGTTTATCACCCAAATAAAATATAAAAAATATATCTTTTCACAACTAATTAATACACCTAAATTCTTTAATTATGGCATATTTATACGATTTTATAGATAAGAAAATCAAATATAATGATTTATTGATAAAATAACAAATCATATATATGAAAGTTGGCCAACTCTCTCCATATGAGTGTCACATCATCACACAAGAAAATGACATGTGTCATTTTGTATTATTTAAATAAAAAATTAGCCAAATTAAATGAGAAAAAATTGAAATTTTTTTATTGTATTAAATCTTCCATCAATTATAATTTTAAGTTATTTATTCAAAATTGAAAAAAAAATACAAAATTATGTTAATAAAAAACACTACTTTATACTCTTCTTATTTTAATAAAAAAAAAATTATATATGAAAGTTGGTCAACTCTCTCTATATGAGTGCCACATCATCACACAAGAAAATGATATATGTCATTTTGTATTATTTAAATAAAAAAATTAGCGAATTAAATGAGAACAAAGTAAAAGTTTTTCTATTGCATTAAATCTTCCATCAATTATACTTTTCAGTTATTTATTTAAAATTGAAAAAAAATTCAAAATTATGTTAATAAAAAACACTACTTTCGATATACTCTTCTTATTTTAATAAAAAAAAATTATCAATGGTTACCACTAAATAATGACTTAAACTTTATTTTTTTGTAATTTAGTTGTTTGCTATCATATGGAGAGAGTTTGTCAACTTTCATATATATGGAGAGAGTTGGCCAACTTTTATATATAGAATTATGTTTTGTTGTTCATATATGACTTATCATATGAGTTTCTCTCTTTTTATTTTTATGTATTATGGTAAATTGGTAATATTGACATGCAAGTTTTTTCAAGTGATGGGCCTTTGAAACATTAGACATACCAAATAATTCAAGACACGACTATTTCTCTTATATGGATATATGCAATGATACAAGATCTAAAAGTGTTGACCTAAATGACACTTTAGTTTTTGCTTTCTTTTTCTATTTTCTTATGAAAATTTTTGAGATCTTGTACTATTTATGTCTATCTAGTATTTCATAATGAGTCTATCACGATGTGGTTGGAATACGAGATCAGGAGAGTTAACAGAACAAAAAATTGTATTTATAATCAAATTAGGTGAGTTTTCAAACCACACAAATGAAATAATTACATATGATTGTATAAAAATATCCTATATTGTTGTTGTATGTATTCATGGTGGTGAAAAAATATTAGGATCTTAAAAATATAAACTTTGACCAAAAAACATAGTTTCTATTATTATGAGACTTTTAATTCTCTTTCTCTAAAGTGTCATTGTTGACTATTAAAATAACGTATAAAAAGAATATGTTGTTAAAAACAGAAAAAGATTTAAAATAAGATTTTCTATAACAAAGAAACCTTGACCAAAAAAACATAGTTTCTATAACAAAGAAAAAGAAACGATAAGAGATAAGAATTACATAACTATTAGAAAAGATTATAAATAGAGGATAGTAATTCATTATTTCTTAAGTACAAAAAAAAAACTTGCAACAAAAAAAGTTAAAGATATGGGTGCTAAATTGAATTTAATGATTTTAATAGTGTTTGTGGTGACAATGGTAATAGCAATGGAAAATGTCAATGGAGAGACGAAAGCTCAATGCCAAGAAGATTGCATTCAAGGTTGTGCCACCACCGGATCACTTCCGAGCAAGTGCCTCCAGATTTGTTACCGTGGATGCCGCGGCAAACCTGGTCGTGCATTAGGTAACCAACTAACCATTTTCCAAAAAAAAAAAAAAAACAATAATCTAACAACTTTGGAAATATATCAAAGAAAATATATTTTGATGATTATTGCGATTTTTTCTAACTATAGAAAATATATTTTCTCTTTGTATAAATAAATTTATTTTGTTAAGAATTGAAGTAAATTCAAGTAAGTTTGACTAGTATAATAGTAATTAACAATGGAATGTTCAAATGATTGAGCGATTTAATTAATTTTCAAAAATGTGAAAACATGAAATTATCATAATATCATAAACTAAAATATTTCTTCTTTGTATAGTGGAAGCGCAGACATAGAAGAGATGATGTCAGTGTTGGACTCTTGGGACTTTTAAACTAGCTTTTCTTCTACTTCTGTATCCGTATGTAATCAATTGTAACGCTATTAAATAAAACAAAATAAAATTTGTGTCATGTTACAAATTTGTCTCGACTTCAAGCATGTCTCTGTTTAAGACTCCTCTTAGATTTGAATTTCATATTTCATAATTTTCGAAGTGACATGTAGCGGCTCATTGCTTTTCTTGATTCATATTTTCAACTTTAGGTATTTCAAAGTGTACTATACCTTGTGGATAAAGCAAATCCATATGACCATATTTACATGAGACAAAAGTGAAACCATTAAGCATCTCTGTTTCAGCTGCAAGAGAGAAACACTTTGTTCCAATTTATATAAAACTGCCACTACCACGTATCTCCTATCCGTAGAAGCCAAAAAAAAGGAGTAACGAAACAACAAAATTGGCTCTCAATTGTTTTGAGTTAGAAATGATTGGTATGTCGCGGGACCTTCTGATTTGAACCCTTCATTAGCTTGGTTTTATGCGTTGAACCTCTCTGTGGTACATGTATTATAGGTATCTTATAATAGCAAAAGAAAAACAAAGAAATTTGAATACAACAAGAAGCCCACTCTGATGAGAAGAAACTCATCCTTAAATTAGAGTGCCGGTAATATTGAATTAGAATAGTTCATTGCTACAAAGAAAAGAAGAGAAAAATTAAGTTGATAAAGCAGAGAATACCTTGGTTTATTCACAGTCCGTGAGCCAATGAAGTGACCCATACACGGGCTTGTTAACGTACCTCCAAGCATTGGTGCTAAAATCGAAAATTTCACAAGTAGTAGCATTGTCTTAGCCAAACTCATATGAATTATATGTATAACCAAACCCGGCTTATATGTGTCCCTAAATTTGTATTTACCGAATCCAAGACTAGGACATGAAAAGCCATACTCTTCTTCTTCATAACCTCTCGATGATGAGATGTGAATGTTGGAAAGAGGAAAACTCACTGATGTTATGAAAACCGAGTTTTAGAAGCTGCAAAGATACAACTAACCATTCACTTCTTAAATAACTCTTTTTGTAACTAAAAATATTCTCTTCTTCTTTCCTAAAAAAAAAATTCTAAATAACATTTAAGCACAACAAAATTTTAATTAATTTCAATTATTGTTGCACCTAAAGGGAGATATCCTAGTTTGAAGTAATATCCTAAAGGAAAAAAGATTGCTAGCTACACAAAGTATTGACGAATACATGGTCACACATGCCAAATATACTATTGTATCTTTAGCTAAACGAAATAGATGTATTTGTATGGCCACATGTATGAACTATACGACGTCATGTGGTTAACACCATAGACATATAATTCAGGTACACTGATCAATTGATTCCGGCGAAAACTAGCGTTGCCCAATAAAAATATTCAAAAAATATTTTTCTTTATTTTTAATATTAAAAAAAATTATTTTTATTTAGTGTTTTGTAATAAAAAGGAAAAACTTATAATTATATTTTGTATATATATTTTTATGCATTAATTCTTAGTTAGTTTTTTTCAATATTTAAAGTAAACCAAATGTGTAATAAAAATCACTAATAAATCTTAACTAAAACCGGAAAATCTTATTAGAATTAAATAATTAAGGGAATTGCTTAGTTTTATATTGTTAATTAAAAGATGCTAACTTCTTATTTGATTTATTTAAATACACAATAATTCTATTACTTAATATTTTTCAACTACAAAAATTTCTACAATGAAAATCATTAGAATCAAACCCAATACATATGACTTTCATTAAGAAATAATATGCAAAAAAAATGAGTATATAACTCTTTAGTCTAAATTTTATGCGGTAAATGTTTTTAATTTAAAATTGATAATATAAAAAGAAACAGTTCCTATTCTTAATTGATTATAATAAAACAATCCGGTTTTAATTTAAATTTTGTTTTGAAAAAAAAAAAACTAACTATTATAAGAATTAATGCATTATATATATATATATATATTTATAATATCTTTATATTGAATATAATCAGTGTTTTTGATTATACAGCACCAAATATATAATTATGATTTCTGTTTTTTTTTTGTTTTTAATATTAAAAATAAATAAAAATTCAATTTTTTTGAATATTTTTGTTGGTCAACGCTGGTCAACACCGGTCTTTGCCGGAGTCAATCGATCGGTGTACCGGAATTTTATGTCTATGGTGTTAGCCACATGACATCGTATACTTCATACATGTGACCATGCAATACATCGAATTCGTGTAGCTGAGGATACAATAATATACTTGACATGTATGAACATATATTCTCCAATACTTAGCGTAGCTAGCAATCTTTTTTCCTATCCTAAAACCTCTCTACCTAATTTAAACATATATATATATATATATATATATATATATGATTCTCATTTCACTTTTATTTATTTTTATATTTATATTATTTTGAATTATTATAAAATATATAAAGTTAATAAAATTTTAGATTTTTTTTTATGCATATGATGTGATTAAATTTTTTTAAAACGGACATATATTACTCAATCGATAAAGAAAAAAGTATGTGTACAATCAAAAATATAACCAAAACATAAATCATTACAAACATTTATCGATTAAAAAAGTTTATCGATTAAAAAAATTGCTCATTTTTGCGAGTCGAAGTTTTTTTTTTTTAAGCCAGATTTTGATCCAGATTTTAGTCATTCGGATCATTAATAATTTGAAACTTTTAAAAAAAAAATCCGGAATTGAGTCAATCTGATCATTTTTTATTTGAGATTTTTTTTAAAAAAATTCCAAATGAAATTAAATGATTGATTTTGGAAACATATCAATCGTATATGTAGTTATAACAAACAAATATTTGCTAATCAAATGGTTTCCTATTTTAATGGTAAGGATTTTATTGCATTTAACATTTTGTTTCCTAAATAAAATGAACTACATAAATTCGTTATTCAATCCAATTAAAAGAATTGGAAATTTCTCATAACTAAACGATTTCTACTTGCTCACCAAAATTTTTGAAACTAATTCTTGAACCACTTTATTTATCATTTATTAAGTTTTCTAATTTTCGCCAATTATAATTAATTCATGAAATCTTGCTTCCTCACAAAGATTTGTGGAATGGTGAATCACAGCTAACCCAAATCGTATATGTCCTCTATATATATTCATTTCATTTGCCAAGAGTAAACATCACCTCTAAACATAAAAAGTTGATAAAAAAACATGGCTGTCATTTTACTTACCTTTGTGACTTGAAATCTTACAAAAACTAATCTCTTTGTGTGGTTTAAAAGGTATGGGAGTGAGCACATTAACGTTGCTTTGGTACACTCATCCTCTTATTTTTTTGTTGATTTTTCTGAAAATGATTCATATATTAATTATCTCTTTTTGTTGGTGTGTTTGTAATGGAACTTTTATCTTAGCGCAATGATCTTTATTGCTTAATTATGTTGTTCTTTTTTCCTTTAAATCCTTATTGAAAATCGAGTATATAAATATTCCAATGCCATTTTTTTGAATCATAACTAAATTTTAAAATTTTAATATTTATTTTTCGCCATTAATTGTGTATCTTGCAAATATATTTCGTAATTTCTTAGACGAATATGTTTTTCTTATCTTTTTCAATTATTAGAATTTAACGTATATGTAGGTTTAATCAATTGAATATAATCTAGAGATTCTTTCGATACATAATTTTTTTTACGAATATATAAATTAACAATGTTTCTAAGAAATCTTTCTATTAACAGAAGAAGTACAATAAGTTATAGCTAACTAAGACAAAAATAGTTCTCTCTGCGAAAAGAGAAGATGGCGACGGCGCTAGGGTAGTGACCCGACTATGCGTTTGTTTTCTGCGGCGACGGCGGATCGGGATTCATTAGGGAAGACGGAGATCTCTCTTTGGGTGTATGACGGAGGTTTCGATTGTGGTTTTAAATCGGTATCACTGGTTATTTTGGCAACAGAGGTTTATTGCCGACGGTTTCAACGGAGATTCTTGATTCAGTTGATTCTTGAGTCAAAGTGGAGCTTCAGTGGGTATCGAAGGGTTTTCAAGGTTACGGAGTGGCTCTCGATTAGGGTTGATGATCGGAGACTCTTGATCCGGTTGTTTATCGAGTCAAATGGGATTCCCAGAGGGTGGATTCACGGGTATCGATGGATTCTAAAGGCTACGGAGTCGCTTTCGATGATATTTGGTGACCTCTGTTTAGGATTGATGATTGTTTTCCAGTCTATGAGGATCTGGAATCAGGAAGAATCAGAAGGTTGTTGTGTTTTCCGATTTGGTTTCAAGGCTAAGCAGTGGGGTCTGGTCCCGGGGAGAGATTTGAAGGCATACGGGCATATTTTGGGATTTTTGATTGATGTTTTGTTGGCATTGGGTCTGTTTGCAATGGTATGGTTAGACATGATGGTTCCCGGTGGTGGTCGCTATTTGTTTAGGTTGCCGTTAGTTTTCTGTTTGTATTGGGAGTTTGAGTTTTTGGAATGGAGTCTCAATGGGATACATTTTTTAGATTACGACGTGTTGTCGGAATTTGAGTTTTTTTTAGTTGCAGTTTGGTTTTGGGCTGCGGATCAAAGATACTTTCGGTTGACAACGATTGAAAAGAGACGGTTAGATCGAGGAGTTTTTAACAGATGGTTGTTCAATAATAGGAATGGGAGGGCTTTGATTTCTTTTCAAAGGGCTAGTGTGGATGGTCATAATTTTTCTAAAAGGTATGATGTTGGTCGATTGTGTTTGGATTTTGAGTGTATGGAGTTGAGTTTCAGTGGTTTTAACAAACGGTTTTACTACGGTTTGATTTCCGGTTTTTTATGGTTGGTTATGGATACTATAAGAGTTAAAATATTTAGATTCAATTTTGATTGGGTTTCTTTAAAGAAGAATCAACGGAATGAAGCTATAACCTGATGCACCATGGTACGGTGCATGGTTTAACGGGTGGACGCAACCCACCTAAACCAAAGTTTAATAAATGAAGGTTTTGAGTTGGAATTGTCAAGGACTTGGAAATAAGGCAACTATTGGTTATCTTCGGGATATATGGAAACAACACCGGCCAGATTTTTTATTTCTTTCGGAAACAAAACAACCTTCTTGGTTTATGGAAAAATTTATCGGTCATTTTGGTTACAAAAATTTAAAAACGGTTGATCCTATCGGTTGTAGCGGCGGTTTAGCACTTTATTACAATAATGATTTTAATGTTTCAATTAGTTATGAAAGTAATCGTTTAATTGATGTTGAGGCGGTGGTTAAAGGAAAAACAATACATCTTATTTTTGTTTACGGTGATCCGGTTCCAAAGAATAGAGATCAAGTTTGGGAACGATTAACACGAATCGGTTTGGTTAGAGACACACCTTGGTTTTTAATAGGAGACTTTAATGAATTAACCGGAAATCACGAGAAAAGAGGTGGTAATTTAAGAAATGCATCTTCTTTTATCCCTTTTAATTTAATGATCCAGAATTGCGGTCTTTTGGACTTTCCATATATCGGAGATTGGTTATCATGGCGGGGTTGGCGGGATAAGAAACCAATTCGGTGTCCTTTGGATAGAGCTTTAGCAAACGAAGATTGGCATTAATTATTCTGCAATTCGTTTGTTGAATATTTACCAATGGTAGCTTCCGACCATTCACCGGTGGTAGCTACGCTTATGGATAAGGTTCCACGTGGAAAAAGAAATTTTAGGTTTGATAAAAGATGGATTGGAAAGGAAGGATTACTCGAGGCAATTTCAAATGGTTGGAATT